CCAGCTGTCGGCCAGCTCTCGGCCAGCTCTCGGCCAGCTCTCGGCCGGCTACCCTCCTTCTCGTCGATGCAGGGCGCGCTCGCCCTCGCTTCGCTGCCTGACCAGCTGACGCCCACGCAGCTCGATCCGGACAAGTACTGGCGAGGCATGCGGGTGCCGCAGAGCGTCGGCTTCCTCCGTGCTCACGCCGAGGCCGCGGGCGAGGAAGAGCGCGCCGGCGGGGACGGCGGCGGCGGCGGCGGCGGCGGAGGAGGCGCGGCGGAGGCGGCTGCGGCGGGGGAGTTGGCCGAGGTGGCAGTGCGGCTCGAGCCGGTGCGGTGGGAGGGGAAGAGCGCCGACGAGGTTGCCTTCTCTGCTCGAGGGGAGCGCGCGTCAGAGCATGGTCGTGGAATGAGGAATGGTGTGAATGGATCAGGTCGCTTCTCTGCTCGAGGGAGGCGCCGTCTGCTCGCGGCTGCATGAGCACGCGCGACGGCTGGTGGAGGTGCCGATTCGGCGCATCTCGGCGCATCTCGGCGCGTCTCGGCGCATCTCGGCGCATCTCGGCGCATCTCGGCGCGTCTCGGCGCATCTCGGCGCATCTCGGTGCATCCCGCTGGCAGGTTCAGGCGGCCATGTACGCCGAGGCGATGGCGGACGACGGTGCGCCCCCCGCGCCCGGCCAGCCGCGCGTGACGCTCTTCCGCGTCAACCCGCACATGGAGCGGCTCGAGGCGGCGATGGAGGCGCACCTGCAGAGCTTGCCGCGCGCCAAGTATGACGGCTCGCAAGGCGCCGCCGCCGCCCCGCCGACGACGACGGCGGGGGCGCCGTCCAAGAAGAAGGCCAAGGCGGGCAGGCCGGTCGCCGCGGCGAGCGGCGGGTTTGGCGGCGGCGGCGGCACGGCCAAGGGGAAGGCCAAGACCAAGGGCAAGAAGAAGAGATGAGCCAGACCGGCTCCGGGCGATCGGGGGACGGTACGTGTACAAAAGTTGAGAGAGAATCTCTCTCAAAAGTTAGGAACGAAAATATTAGCAATAAATAAACGGACACCTCTACTAGAGCCTCTACTGTGAGATGAGTAAAAAGGAACAGGTCCCCGCCCTTGCGATCTTGGTGCAGGGTTCTTTGTGGTCGGCGACTAGCCGCAAGCCGGGGTCGTCCCCTCTCCCGATGGGGGACTCCTAGCACTAGCCGTCTTCCACATGGTCCCTCGGGTCCCCGCTGCTCCTAATCTCTTTATCAGCAGAGATACTTACCCCTTGGAGCACTTGGAGTGCAGTCTACATTAACCTCACATCCACCCCCCTTTTTTTACCTCTTTCGAAAGTTCGTTTTTCTTCGATTCACCCCCGGACTTCCATCATCCTGTCGGAAGAGGCGTGCGGTGGAGCACGTCCGGTATAAAAGCAAGATATTGTCAGGAGACGGAACACGGAGGAGCCGTATAGGTCACTAGAGACCCACACCATCGCTACATCACCACAGCCACCAAGTCGGATACAAGTCGATGACAATGTGCGCGGCAGGAGAAACCCAACAGCATGACAATGTGCGCGGCAGGACAAACCAAACATGAGACACGGTTACACAAGGACGGTCAGGCTACGGTCAGGGTTAGGGTTAGGGGTAGGGGTAGGGGTAGGGGTAGGGGTAGGGGTAGGGGTAGCTTGTTGTCGTCGTGCCGATAAGACAGAGACACGGGCAGCAGACGCGACCCAATCGACGCGCCAGAGCATGGTTGGGCGTGTGAGCCGCCATCTTGGACTGTGAGGCGAGCATTTGCCACCGGGAGCTCGCCGCCGCCCCTACACCGCCGCCGCCGCCCTCCCGAGGCCAGATAATAGCCCAAGTCGAAGAGTGCGCCCTTCCCTCGGTATCTGGGTGGCAGGCGGGACTAGAGAGGCACGCCAGAGCACGGCCAGGGGCGCGAGCCGCCATCTTGGACTGTGAGGCGAGTATTTGCAGCCGGGAGCTCGCCGCCGCGCTTACACCACCGCCGCCGCCCTCCCGAGGCCAGATAATAGCCCAAGTCGAAGAGTGCGCGCCGCCCTCGGTATCTGGGTGGCAGGCGGGACTAGAGAGGCACGCCAGAGCACGGCCGGGGGCGCGAGCCGCCATCTTGGACTGTGAGGCGAGTATTTGCCACCAGGAGCTCGCCGCCGCCCCTACACCGCCGCCGCCGCCCTCCCGACACCCGAGGGCAGATAATAGCCCAAGTCGAAGAGTGCGCCCCGCGACGCACCAGAGCACGGCTGGGCGTGTGAGCAGCCGTGTTTGACTGTGAGGCGAATATTTGTCATCGGGAGCGCGCCTCCGACTCTGCACCGGGCCGCCGCCGCCCTCCCGAGCGCCGAGGACAGGAGATAATAACGGCCGCCTCGTCGTCGAGCTCGGCGGAGACGATGGTCGCCTCGCGTTTGAACCCCTCGAGCTGCTGGAGCGGCGTCGCACTCGTCGAGCGTAACAGCAGTCCGCCCTCGGATGACTTGTTGAGCGCGCCGTAAGCCGTCCCCGTATGCCGTAAGGCACGCGGCAGCCGTCAAGGGAGCGCGATCTCGGTCAGCTGGTGCCGCCGCGTGGGCACGGTGCGAGGAAGGACATGCTGTGGCAACGACGAGAGCTGTGCCTCGAAGACGCGCGCGAAGGGGAGAGAGAAACGACCAAACCACCCCAACCCACCCAC